GGGTGTGGGTGTGGGTGTGGGTGTGGGTGTGGGTGTGGGTGTGGGTGTGGGTGTGGGTGAGGGTGAGCGTGTGGGTGAGGGTGAGGGTGAGGGTGAGGGTGTGGATGTGGGTGTGGCTAAATATAGATGAATGTTTATATTTACACTGATACTCACACCCACTCTCAAACGTCTTTCTTTATTTTTACCATTAAGTTGTTTCGAACACCCAAAATCTTATCATTTTCATATTTCGACTTTTTTTCTTCGATATTTTTATCCTTCGATATCCTTATACTTCGACATTTTTCACTTCGACATTTTTATACTTCGGCATTTTTTACTTCGATATTTTTATATTTCGACATCTTTATACTTCGACATTTTATGTTCGACATTTTTCGTTCGATCTTTTTATACTTCGACATTTTTACTGTCGATCAAAGTTGGGAGAATCGTTTACTATTTATCTTGAGGTTGGGTGTGTGCGTATGTTTGGGTTAAGATGAAGGTATACTATTCTTTTGTCACTCTAACACCCACAGGACAACACTGACAGAAAGGAAACACAAGAGAAAATATATCTCTATAACATCAGCAAAATGCTTTCATCTTGTCTGATATAATCTTACTAAGCCTAATCTATAAATTAATTTTACTTGTCAAATTCATTTTAAAATTTTCAAGGTTTATAGATTTGTTATATTTATATTCTTTGCTTCAGAGATAATTAATAAAAAATATTTTTTTTGTCTGTACCTGTCTTTTTAATATTCTTGTAACATTATTTAATAACTTTTTATTTTTGCGTCGTCATTGTTGATGACATATGGTTAATTTTAGATGAATTTCATAGAAAACTAATTCATTTTAATTGATTTTGCCTGTAAAAATGAAATCTGGATTAATTGGTTTTATATTACTCTAATATCAATTCAATTAATTGAAGCTTACCTTCTTTTATGCTCGATTTTTAATTTGGCAAGAAATTGTTTATATATCAAATGAAAATTATTGTTTTATAGTATTTATTCGTCATCAATCTAATAATACAACGACGACAAAAATGAGATTTAATTGCTATACAACGAATTTTTTTTATTATTTCTTATTAAGTATAGAAATGGTATTAATAACACCTCAATTGAGAAATCTTCTTAGACAAAGAGGGCATTAAAATCGTGTAACTACAGTAGTCGAATCAATGCACATGAGAACTGTTAATACTATTCAATAAATCGTTCTTCTTTGACATTCACTAAGCAAAATTTTTTACGTGTTAGAAATAAGTAAATATACATGCGTCTTTCATCGTTATTTATAATAAATTAATCATATCGTTTTATTTCAAATGGTGGTATGACAAAATTTACTCGTATGAAGTAGATTTGTTTTTGTCAGATGGAATACTTTCATTTGTCACATGTCCTGGCAGTAATGGAATTGTATCTAAATCCGTTCGTTTAGGACCAATAAACCAATGACGAGCTGAAACAAACCAATATATTCCAGCAATGGATAGAACTATACTAATAACAACAATAGAATAATTCATATTATCCAATGTTATAGGATATTGATTTGGAAGAATCATAAAAAATGATGTAATTGTTAACCATATAGAAGAAATAATTGCAATAGGTACACCAAATCGACCAAAATTATATTCTCCTAATGGAAATATTTTTCGTGATATTGTACAACGAAATAGAATTGGTATTAAATAAGATACTTGTATACTAAATGTTGCTATAGCTAGGAAAGCAGTAAAAGCTGTTGCTGATATTAATTGAAATGAAAGAAGAATAGAATCAAAACAACATATGAATATAATAGCACCCATTGGAATTTTTGTTCCTTGATATATCCAACGTAAATAGTGTGAAAATGGAAAAGCACCATCACGAGCCATTGAAAAACTATAAACAAAATGAAAAATGACAGAAAATCTATGCAGATAATTATTACATACAAAATTCGACTAGTAGATGTAACAGATGATATACCAGCAAAATAAATATTACAAACGAGAATAGTTGTCAATGCCGTTGCTTCACGGTATGGTATTGCTCGCTCATATGTAGCGATAATTAAATTTATTGATGCATCATTTTTATTATTATCTTTGAGAAATTTCTCAACATTGGGTATAGCAAAAAGAAGTGCAAACAAATAAATAAATCCAACAATAGAACCACCTATACATGTAATAATGATTGCTCTGGGAACTACAATAATTAAATATATTTATTTTATTGAAGAAAATTTCATCGATATAATTTTACCTGTTCGATCAGCACTTTTCGTCTCTTCAGCTAAATGAGCACCAGCTAGAATATATTTAAATTTAATCTTTTTCGTCTCAAAAAAATGAATTTACCTTCATAACCAGAAAATGAGAATAGAGTTGAAAGTATACTAATACAACATACATAAATAAATGGAAAACCTGTACTATTATATGTAGAAAAAAAGACATCATGGACAGTTGCATGCTGAGGAATCGCAATAAACAATACACTAACAATAATCAATATACCAAATATTTGAAAAAAAGTAGCCAAAGTAGTTAACCATCCTTGTTGATCAATGCGAAGTGCATTTATAATACACCATGTAAATACAATTCCAATACTTATGATTACTTGAACAGGAGTACTTAGTGGAGGTTTACCATTAAGAACAATTATAGCATTTATAATAGAAGCGAAACCTGATGAAAATACAACATCTCCTATATTAACAATACGAAATAAAAATATATAAGAAGAGAAAAAGATATTGATATTTATTTACCAGCACTATTTCCAATAAAATTGAACCATCCACAAATAAATGATGCTAATGGAGCATTACGAGCTGGAACAAGTTGACCTGCCCTAATTAAAGAAGTAAATTTGTATCCTAATAACAAAAAAGAATAGAATAATTTACCAGTGATAAACTGATCCTGCACTTGGATAAACTGAACAAATTTCAGCTAAAGAACAACCAACAAGTATGGTAAATAAAGATCCAATTATCCAAGACCATATAGCAACACCTGATCCTCCAGTATTTAATGTATAATGAAAACCTAATGAAATTGATGTTAAAATATTAACAGCTGTGAAACAAAATGTAAATGACATAAATGGAGAAAAACCACGATAAAGTTCTTGTGTATAACCCATTTCTTTAAGAAGACGTATATCTTTTTCAGCGTCTTCATTTTCATTATTTTCTATCATTTTAAGAGATATGGGAATAGATTATTATTTCAATGAAAATATCTACAAATATACTAGATATAAAAGATTTATTTTTTCTTACTTTATTTCTTATCAAAAAAATTATAATTGTTAACACTTATTGAAGTTTTTATGTCGATGTATGCGTATAGAATCTGATATATATGTACTTGTCTATTCAAGTGTTACGATTCATTCGAAAAAGAATATATCTATACTCAAGCAATGGTTACGGTCCGCTTATTTTATAATTTTTACTCCATACACTGTCACAACAGAACGTGTAAAGGCAAAAAAAAAATATTGTATTGACGTAAAGTAATCAATTGTCGAAAGAAAATAACAAACGTAATACGTAGAATATATCAAATAGGTAAGAACGATGAAAAAGTTTTTTTTTTATATATTTCATTTATTCTTCTTGAATACATTTTACGATTAATTTTAATTTTTTAAAACGTAAGAATGTTTAAGCTGACTAAAATCACTATTTTTTTTTATTTTGTATGAATTATTCCACAATATTGAAAATGCTTCATAACAGCATTAGGATATGGTATAGTCATCATGTATTATTATCAAAATACTATTAAATAATGATTTTAATGTTAACAAACATAATTGTAATATATATAATCACAACAATGAATAAATAATCTTGAATTTCAATATGTCTAACGAAATGTTATTGATACATCAGTGAATTCTTCACGAAAAACAGATCCATCATTTTTATTCTTTAACAAGTGAATCAAATATTGTTCGTGTATCTTTATCTTTTATTTTTATTAAATTAATAAATGACTCTAGTGGCCTAGTTAGAAAATGTAAATAGTGCACAGCTGCAAATTTTTGTAAAAGAGTACCTTTTCTTTGTGAATCGAAAAAATTTGGCAATTGCTCTGCTAATATTTGTATACATTATTTTTTGTTTCTTTCGAACAATGATCGATAGATGACGAAATCTCAGCATTTCTGAAATGATATGCATCTATATGAGAGGGAAGATAACTCGAATAAATTTGTCATTGATATCATATTTTCCATTGAAAACGGAAGCTCTCTTGTATTATGAAACACGATATTCATTCGCTGAACTGATATAATCAGTTTATTTCCGAGCTCAACGTGCAAATTAAACAGAAGGTAGTTTATATGCTATTATCTAATAAAAAATAAGAATGTACCAATATAGATCAGAGATAATAAATAAAGTATGAGCGTTAAATATAAAGTTCGAATTGCTAGAATTATTCGGTGCTCCAAGCTGCATCGCTGTCGACCCAACGCTGACCATCTTGAGGGTGAGTGTGGGTGTAGGTGTGCGTTTATATCGACAAAAGACACCCACTCAGACCTACACCCACACTTCTTAGAACACTAATTGAATATTCTGTCATTTCGAAGATGTACTCATGTAAAAACAAAGTTGTATACAAGGATGAAGAAAATGATGTTTCCAGGAAGTTCCATACGTTATTTTACATTCTAAATATGACTTAGTGCATTATATATTCATCAAGTTCAAACTTATGCTGCAATGAAAAAGTAACCATGTTATTTGAGTAAAGAAGAAATAAACAAATGACTTTTATATCTCATTTTTGTTTCAACACTGTGACTAAGAAGATTGGTGTAAAATAAATACGAATATATCAATCGTTTCCAAGGCTAATGTATCAGAGATATTCTATTAGATAAAAGAAAATATAGGATCAAGTAAACAAAATTTTCAAAAACGAAATATATTTATGGGTACATGAAAGAGGTAACTGTTAGATCGTATAACATAAATTAAGTAATTGAATATATTTCAACTTACATTGATAAGTAATTGTTTCGTTATATACACCATTCGCTTTCCTTTTTGAAATATAATTTAAAATAGTGCAACAGAGCAGCATCTGAGATTTTCTTTTGTGTTTAATGCATTCAAACGCTCAACCACAGAATGGAACTCTACTACTGGAATTTTGACAGAATTATCTTATAATAACCCAATTAGAAAGAAAACGAGATTTAATATTTACAAAAAAAGAGTCAGGAAAAGACGTCTAGATTCATCTTGGACTAACAAATATGTACTTTAATGATAAATCTAGTCAGTTCACCTGTGAACGTATTAAGCCGTTGATTACCGGGTTTCTTTAAAGTGAATCTTTTATTTTCTTTCTAAAACAGTCTGGAGTAACTTTTATTAATATATAGAAGCATTTGAAAGTGGGTGCACCTTATTTATCTCAATCGATATCCCCACCCACACCCTCACACCCACCCGCAAGATCAAGTAATTGTAGTCATCATCTTGCCTATGCAGATTGGTTTGACGAATATATTCGCCAGTAACGGTAGAGGGGTTAATATAAATCCATAAAATCAGTTTCGCTAAGTGCTTCAATCCCGTTAAAACCAATAATCAATGTCGAAAGAATGTAGCTTAGTTGTCCTTGTACGCTATCGAATACTTCTGTACATCGCTTACGATTAGGATCTGCCTCTGGAAAGTCATTTATTCGACTAGGGGTGTCACTTTAACTTTGCTTTAATAGTTAAAGTTAAAGTTCTAACTTTAACTTTAACTGTTAAAGTTAAAGTGTTTTACTTTAACTTTAGGTTTTAAAGTTAAAGTGAAAACACTTTCCACTTTAACTTTATTTAAAGTTAAAGTATTTTAAAGTAATCTGATAACGGTCAAAAATCAATAAGGGAAACATTATGGGTGGCACGTTAACTTTAACTTTATTAGTTAAAGTGCTTAAAGTTTAAAGTTAGAACTTTAACTTTAAAACTTGAAGTTAAAGTAAAACACTTTAACTTTAACAGTTAAAGTTAAAGTTCCAACTTTAAACTTTAAGCACTTTAACTAATAAAGTTAAAGTTAAAGTGACACCCCTATATTCGACCCATTGCTTTTCTAGCGTATAACCATCCGATTAAATACATTTTACGACCGTAATATGTCCATGCTATATCCATGTAAACTAGAGCAATCCAAGGATGGTTAAGAGGTAAATTTTCCAAATAAATGGATAATGTTCTCTTTAAACAGCGAAGCGCAGTTTTATAATGTTGATTCTTACTCAAATAAACGCAAGCAAGATTATTGTAAGTACGTCCAATGTGTATATGATTTTCAGGTAATACTTTCAACTGAAATGTTAATATCTCGTTTAACTTAATTATAGCTTCATCATTTCGTCCCATGTCTCTGTAAAGATGGGCTATATTACTTAGTAAAGTTGCTCGATTCGGATGGTTGTATGGAATTGTGGATGAATTAATAAAGACATTTAAAGCCTTCTGAAAATGTTCTTCAGCCTTTAAGTAATCTTTTTTACTAAGATACACGTGCCCGAAAGTATTGTATACTGTAGAAAGTGAAACGTCGCTGGATTCTGCGAACTTGGCTTGTGCGTCGAATGCCTCATACGCAAACTTTAAGGCATGATCAAATTCGGAAAGATATCGATGGGCTACTCCTAGGTTATTATAGATGTCAAATAGATCTTCGTGGTTAGTTGGATTATGTTTCAAAATAAGATCTAGGGCTTGATTATATTCCGTAATAGCTTGCCTATAGTCACCTTGAGTTTTAGCCACATAACCAAGTTGCGTGTAAAGTTTAGCTTGCATATCATAATTAGAAAGTATATCAGAACTGTATAGCATCAATCGATAATAATGTGCTGCTTGATCATATTGACCCATTTCATGAAGACACAAGCCCAACGTAATTAAGGAGGTAGGTTCATTGATTTTATAATGCTTGTAATAAAAGGCAAATAGACGTTTCATTTCTTCGTTTTCCTGATCACTGATTTTCAACGTAATTTGATATATATTTTCAATTTGTTTCACATTTGAAATTCGAAAGATCGCTCCAATAGAAAAGAGAACTTCGTCTTCTGAAAAGCGACTAACATAGGCGATACTACCAAAAGGAATTTTAGTATTTAAAAGTATATCAATTTCAATGATGAATAAGACTGATTCATCTTTCTCATTACCCGCGAAACTTAACGCCAGACCACGGTTCGTCGTTGTTGATAAAAAAGTATTGAACGATATCAATCCATTCTTATTCTTTTCTAATTTTCGGATCTCACCTATGTGTAACTTTTGTCCACGATACACAGTCAATTTGTCGGTACAGATCAAATCTATAAATTCTTTATGTAATTGGCACAGTTGTCGGTGAAGATCAGCAATAAAAAAGCGAAATGGATAAATCACATTAATGTGTTTGAGGCGAAGTGCTTTATTTAATAATCGATAGAGGAATTTATCTCCGGTATACCACGACACGGCATTTTCAGGCTGGTAATTTTTTGTAAAATCGGCAATTTGTTCCCGTATCTTCATATTATTCACGTTAAGTAAATCACATAGAAATGCCATTTCATTCTTGGTATCATATTTCTCCTCCATTTTTATCAAAACATCGATCATAAGTTGAAACCACATAGCTGAAGCACCTTCTTCATCTAAATCTTGAGTTGACTGCCCGTTTCCTTGATTAAAAATATTTATTGAAACCTTCGCATCGAGTACATGACGAATATCATTAGTAATTCGATCGAAGAGATCTTGCGTTTGTTTAATAATTCGCTGCTCACCAATTTTAACAAAGCTACTTGCCCATGTTGCATGCTTTTCAAAATTTTCACAGAATATATATGAATAGAATTTGTTTATATGATCCATGAATCTTCGGTACGAATGTTTCTCCCAGACTACCAGATACAATCATTAGGATTTTTTTTGATGATGACAGAATTATTTTTTCAAGAAAAGAATCACAATCAGATTCAGTGTTGAATGGTTGAAGAGAGCTGCATATTGGACTCAGTTTATCACAAATGTCGGTGTAGCAATGGACTTTAGTATCAAGCCAAACAATTGTCAAATCTTCTGGAGTTATATCCATGTTTAGATTTGTAGGAAAAACATTCTTGTCACGCGCTGCTCAATACTCATCTGAACTTTCACTGCTTTGCGAG